ATTGCTAGGTTATGTTTGGAATTTTAAACCACTTTTAAAGGGGACAGTTTGTGTGCAACCCTGGTTAAGCAATTCTTACAAGTCTAGGCTTGCTGCCAACTTCTTAGCCATTTCTACTATAGTCTACTCAGGTAGAAAGTATGTAAGCTAACTTACAGTTTAACAGAGCATCTGACTAGCAGCCGTCATACACCTCTTCCGACTTCCTACTAAGTATGCATAAACACGTAGAAAAAGATGAAACTGGAAGTGATAGGTTCTAGGAGGAACATGAACTCTCCTGAAATAGCCAAGCTTGCCAAACTAAGTTTTCTCTCTGCTTTAACTAGATTTGTACTTATTCTTAGCATTCTCCCCCATCCAACTTGATAGGAGGGAGAAAGACGGTATCTTCCCTCAGTGTCTGCCATTGACTCAAATACTGAGTTCACAGTAATAAGTATGGTGTAGTGGTTAAGAGCACACTTTCACCTATTTAGCTGAGTGAAAATGTGTAGGCTATATTTAAGAAGATCTGTCAGAATGCAGAGGGGAAAACACAGAGGAAAAAAATGGAAGTTGGTAGCCGAAGAAATAGTAAGCCAGTTTAAGATAGAAACAAGGAAAACAACAACTGTTGAAACAGAAGAAATTACAAAAGATATAGTTGAAGAAAACTCTCCCAAGCTGTGAAAAAGAAAAAAAGCCATGGGTATGTTGCTGAAAAGTCTGGGGTCCAGAAAAAATCAACAAAAGATACCCACAAAAAGGCACATTCTGGTAAAATTTTTGTATTAAAAGGAAAAAATTCCAGAAGCATTCAGACCAAAAAATTCTGTGGCCCACACAGTAACAAAAAGTAAGCTGCAGTGTCACACCATTTATGAAACGTTACAGATTAAAAGATAATGGACTAATGTCTACTCACTTGTAGGGAGAAAAAAATATTGGCACCTACCTAAGAATTTTATATCCATTCATAGTTAAGTCACTGCTACAGGAATTATTGCCAACAAAAGTGTCATCGTCTCCAAAAAGCAGAGTTATTTTGAACAACACCAGGCTCCCTTCCCCCATTTTTTCTTGCATCTTTGGAGATCATATTGAATAATCTCTTCATATTGTCTTCAGTCTGGAATCTGTGAATGTTTTTATATTAAATACATTATCATCAGCATGTGAAATAGTATCTCAGTGATGGTAAAAATAGTTAAGAAAAAATTTGTAAGAAAAAAAGCAATGTGGGGCCGGCCCAGTGGCGCAGTGGTTAAGTTCGCATGTTTCGCTTCTTGGTGGCCCGGGGTTCGCCAGTTTGGATCCCGGGTGCGGACAAGGCACTGCTTGGCATGCCATGCTGTGGTAGGTGTCCCACATATAAAGTAGAGGAAGATGGGCACGGATGTTAGCTCAGGGCCAGGCTTCCTCAGCAAAAAGAGGAGGACTGGCAGTAGTTAGCTCAGGGCTAGGCTTCCTGAAAAAAAAAAAAAAAGAAAAAGAAGAAAAAAACAATGTGAAATGTTAAAAATGATGGGTAGTGAGATTCAACATGATCTTTTTTGATTTTCCAGGACTTTCAAAATATTCTACTACATGTATGAATGAATTATTTTTTAATGTCTCTAAAAATACTAGAAGTTTTTAATTTAATAAAAGTACTTGATAAACCAGAAAAAGGTAAAATCAATACAGACAAGTTAGTATTTTCCCAGTAGTCGAAATGACTGGCAGGAGGTATACAAAATCTTAAGGGTTGCCTTCATCTTTTTCTGTATTTTGCAGATTTTATGTAATGAGCATAATGTTGCTTTATAATGGAAAAATATACTCTATTCAAAAATAAAAATTTAGTTTCATTAGTGAATGACATTATTAGGTGCAATTGTTTCTGCTTATGAATGGTCGATGACTCCTCCTTTTCCTAAGACAGGATCTGAAGCAAATCATCTCCTGTGTTGTTAGTGCTACTGACCCACTTGAGGTATATCTTTTTTTCTGGACGTTTTCATTGATAGGTACATTTATCAATGTGTTGTTACACAGAAGAGTTCCGCATTTATTCAGGCATCAAATATTTATAGCATGCCTATCCTATGCTAGCTACCGAGAGTACAATGAATAACTGAGGTAAAGTCCCTCTTCTTATGAAGTTCAAAATTTAACATTTGAAAACTGTTGAAAAAGCTGTCAAGGGCTCAGTGGGTGGGAACACACAGCAGAAGCATCCAGCCGGGTCAAGAGGAACAAGAAAGGCTTTCAGAGGAAGTACAGTCTCACAGTCAGCCAGAAGAGAGGGGAGCAGTCGTCCCATGGAGTTGAAATAGCCTCTCCAAAGGTCTGGAGGTGAGCTATGTTTGGGGAACCAGAAATAGATGAATACACTGGCAACAAAGAGTTTGATGTTGAGGAGTGATGAGTGATAAAGCCTAGAATCAGTAGCTAGGTCATGAAAGGCCTTGGAAACCAAGTTAAGGAACGCAAATTTTATCCTATGGGTAATGGGAAGCCATTGGAGAGTGTGTTTGTTTCCTAGGGTTACCATGAAAAATTACCACAAACTTGATGGCTTAAAACAACAGAAATTTATTCTCTCACAGTTTTGGAGGCCAGAAGTCCAGAATCAAAATGGCAGCAGGGTTGGTCCCTCTGGAATATGTGAGGGAGAATCTGTTCCATGACTCTCTCCTAGCTTCCGGTGGCTGCTGGCAACCCTTGGCATTCCTCAGCTACAGGCTTCATAACTCTAGTCTTGGCCTCTGTCTTCACATGGCTTTCTTCTCTCTGTGTTTTCTCCTTTTCAGTCTTTTGTAGGGATACTTATTGAATTTAGGGCCCACCCTAATCCAGGGTGATCTCTTCTCAAGATCCTACACTAATTACACCTGCAAAGACCTTTACTTCAAATAAGGTCACATTCTGAGACTCCAGGTGGACATATCCTTTGGCGGCTACAATTCAACACACTACAGAAGGCTTTAGAGGGGCAGTTGAGCAGATCAGACTTGTATTTCAGAAAGATTGCTCTGGCTACTGTGTAGAGGAGGTAAGGCTGGGAATGTGGAGGTCAATGGGAGTCTGGGTAAAGGATGGCAATGACTTTGGAGGTAAGAAAGGGGAGATGAGTGTAGGAAGTACTCTGAAGATGGTTGGTTGCAAAGGGGAAAAGAGAGAGGGCTTTAGTTGAGGAGCACATGGAGGTTAGAGGGGGTTTTTAAAGAATGGGGGGTACTCGGTGGATTTTTAATGCAGATGAGACAGATGTTGTATCTACGAGGGGGAGTAGTAGTTGAAAATACAGAAGTGAGAGGCAAAAAGGTAGAGATAATTGTTTTGATGAAAGAGAGGAAGATGGGGTCCGGATCACAGACTACACACAAAGCAGCACCTCCATCTCCTGACTGCTCCTAGATTATTTTAACAGCTCTGTAAAGATGATGATGGTGATGATGAGGAAGATGGTTATTCCTGTTTGAGAACTCTGTGTGCCAGGTGCCACATTGATTATTTTCCATGTGTTACCTGACTTAATCTTTGATGTAGCTATATTTCTTATCTCCTTTTATGGTTTAGGAAACTAAAGCATAGAGAGGTTAAATAATCTGCCCCGGCCACAGAGATAATAAGTGGTAGAGTGTGATTTCCTCCCAGGCAGTGTGACTGCTGACCCTGTGCCATTAAGCACTAGTACCCGTGCTGCCTCTCACAGGAGAGGGAATGATCGATATGTGTGTAGCTTTTTTTCATGGTATATTTTGGCTTTGATAGCAGGCACTATTACGATTATGTAGACTACAAAGCTATTATCTTGCCTGCTATTTTTGTTTTGTTTGTTCTTTCATTGACTTTCCGCTAGATTGATTCAGTGAGGCAGTACCATTTATTTTCTTTATCTTTTTGTGGGGTTTGGACTGGTTTGATTCATCCTTTCTCTGTTTAGGTAGATGGTAAGGCGAGGTGAATATTATTCCTTTATATTATGCATCCACATCTTAAACCTACTCAAGGATTAGAGCTCCTCTTAGGAGATTCATTATCCTAAGCTTTCGCATAAACCCGTCTCCCTTGAATAACTTATTGACACCTGCTCTGTAATCAATTCCTTTATACAAGTTGACTTCGGATTTCTTTACTAAATGTTGTCTTGACTCAAATGTCATTTCCTCAGAGGAGTCTTCTCTCAACCCCAAACTAAATTTGGTCTCCCTGTTGTATGCACCTCATAGCTGAACTCAATGGCTGGGACTCTTTAAGGGGTACTGGGCAGCACTTAACCAGGGTCATTTAAAGCTCAGGGTATTTTGATGAGGAAGATGGAATTTCATTTTTAAAGTTCTAAAATATTAGCAGTCAAAATATATTCTAATTTCTTATTTAGATGGCATGGATCAGGAATTTTCTTGTCACCATTGATAATCAGCATCATACTGCATAGTTGGACTTGCAAAGATGTATCCAGAAAATGACTTTTCCTCCAATAGCTAATACTGATAGATGTGTTTATCTGAAAGTTTGTCTCAAGTGATACTTTTTTAAGCTTTAGGCAGCTGTGTTTTTAAGAGACTTGCTTTTATAACCCTGGTCAACCATGGTCCAACTCAACTCATTTGATGGATCTGTCTCTTATAGTTTGTGTGCTTGAAGTTGAATAGTAGGCTGAGGATAAGAGTGAGAGGAATTATATTCCAGATGGAAGACACCACATGTGCAAAAGTTTGGAGGTCTGTCCTCTGAGGAACCAGCCTAGCAGGATGTACCGGGCAACAGTCCTTTTCCTTTCCCTGGTACACAATCCTGCAGATGCTAGCACAAGTCAGGACTTGTAGACTATTTGCCTCTCATTAATAAACACAAAGATTCTGAATAACTTTGATCATTTGTTAGAACTAAAAGTTGGATCTCTTTAGTTGAGATGATATTTTTTCCTTTGTGTTCTCTTGCCAGTCCCTTCTGAAGCCATTGGCTTCTTGTCTGCAGTTGGGGTCTTTATTGTTCTTCTGGCTGTCCTCTTCCTCTTCATCAACAAGAAGCTGTGTTTTGAAACGATAGGAGGTCTTCCATATCTGGAGCCACGAGGAAAAAGAAAGCACTCTAAAGACAAGACTGGGATCCGTGAAGGCCTGGGTAAGCATTACGCTTCGCATTCTCCTCAGCATGACAACTTGCTGTGGTTTGGGTCAGGGAGGGGTGTCATTGTTTCCAGGATGGGCCCCATTAAGAAATCACACATGAGCTGTCTAACGCCGCTGTGGTGGACATGATGAATGGACATTACTAAAGAATACATTAGTTTTATCAAAGTCTTGCTCTCCTTCGAGTTTGAAGAGCAAATGGGAAAAGGCTGACTACCACTTCCCATCTTAGTTTTTCAGTTGTCTATTTTAATGTAGTTGAGTTTCCCTCTGACTAATGAAGAAAAAAATGTTTTTTGATTGACAAGAGCCTTGGTGTGTTTTACTCTCTTTTCTGTTGGAACAGTGTTGACATTTCATTCAGTTAGCTGCTTTGAGATTTTCAAGGCTCAGGACCACTCCCCACCTCATATGGCAGCACTCACTTTTCCAAAAAGAGTCTTTTACTCTTTGAGCTCACTGAATCTGCTATATCATTTACTAACTGGCTTCAGTTTGATGGGGGAAAATAACATACTTAGGGAAATAATTGGCTTCCTGCTCTTACAGGACGTATTCTATTTTCAGTTGCTGAAGCATAGAACTTTGTGATACAGGCTGTTATCAGAGTGGTATCATCATCACATGGAAGCTGGACATTTAAAGATAGTGCTCTTACAAGTAACAACTTTGCTCTTTTTTATCAGTCTGATTCTCACTCTCCTCTCCCATGTCCCATCTGGGGCATGATGTAACTGGGGGAGGACCAATCGTATCTCATTTTTTTTTGAGTGAGAGGCAAGGCCTTGAGGAGAACACCCTCTAGTCATCCTACCTCCTGGGCATATTCTAAGTGAGCCTGGACCTAGGAGAATATTTGTTTTTTGATATGGCAGCTTCTGTAGCCATGGTTCAGCTTTTTTGCTTTGTTATAAGAAGGGGTGTATTTAGGGATAAATTTGTATTAATTATCTATTGTTTCATAACAAATTAACCCAAAACTTAAGTGCTTAAACCAACAAATATTTATTGTTTCATGGTTTCTGAAGTTCATGAATTTGGGATTGGCTTAGTTGGGTGGTTGTAGATGAGGGTTATTTGTGAAGCTGCAATGAGAATGTCAGCTGCTGTCATCTGAAGTCTTGACTGGGGCTGATGGACTCCCTTCCAGGAAGGCAGAAGTCCTCAGTTCCTATCCATGTGGAACCCTCTGCAGGGCTACTTGAATGAATTTATGACATGGCAGCTGGCTTCCCTCAGAGTGAGAGATCCAGAGAGAAAAGCAAGGAGGAAGACACAGTTCCTTTTATGACCTAGACTAGGAAGTCATACATTGTCACTCTCACCACATTCTAGTCATTCACTAAGTACAGCCTATGCCCAGTGGAAGGGGAACTAGACTCCACTTTTGAAGGGAAAAGTAATAAAGAGTGTGTGGGCATATTTTACAATAACCACAGGAGAGAATAATGGGAGGGGTGCAAATTGCAGAGCTGGCAATCTCTTTGGCATTGCTGCTGTTGCAGTGGCCTTATTTTTTGAACTCCACTTGGGATGTCTGACTCATCTTCTGAAAACAGAATGAAATATTTTAAATAGTTCATTAGGTAAAATCTGGAGCTTACAAGTTTAGCCACTACTGTCCTAGCTGGGACATAAGTGAGTGGGATGAAGACTTCTGCTTGGTCATGGGATAGTATGGAGGTGGGATTCATGGCAACTTTGCTTTTCTCACTTAAGCAGCTGACTGTCACTAGTTGTGTGACCTTGGCAAATTATGGACCCATTCTAAACTTCAGTTTCCTTATCTACACATTGGGTTTGTCAATACATCCTTTATAGGGTTGATGTAGAATAATGAATTATGGTGCCTATGGTGAAAGTCCTAATAGAACTGTAACCATAGCTGTGCAGCATTAACAAAATACCAGTCACAGTAAAGGCTTCTGGAAATGACATCGTACATAAACACGTTGTATTCATTGCTTAAATTGGGAGATTAAAGTCGGTGATGTTTTCTCCTTTGCAAATTATAATGGGTACAAAGAACTAAGGTTAGAGCTGTTTAAGATATTTCCTTTTTGTCTTGTTTGACATGTTATCTGAATATTTTAGAGACAATTATGAATTATACTTGCAAATAAGTTGAGGTTTGAAGATAATGTTGAAATAATAACAATAAAGCACAAACCAGAAGCTGTTAGCTCAAGAAACACTGAAAAATCCATGTGTCGCGCTCAGAGTGGGGTCAGATAAAGGGAGCTTTAAAAATAGTGTGATCAGGAGAATCTCCAAATTATGATGTCTAAGAAGCAAACATCTTCATTTTGACATTTCTGCTTTTAAAAGTTTAATTATCATTGATCAAAAGTCTTTGAAAAATGTGCTTTTAGCCAAGATTTTACCTAACTTTTGATATTTGCCTTAATTATCCTTAGAGTACTGATCTCTAGTGAAGTTGGGTGTTCTTAACGTATTTTGACAAGTGTAGAGAAGTAAGGGAGGCAGCCTGGTGCCGTGGAAGGAAGCACAGTGCAGACAGCCCGAGCTTAGGTTTACCACTAATTGGCTGTGATATTTTGGGCAGCTCACTTCCCCACTCTGGGCCCTAAGTCCTCATTTGCAAATTGATGAGTCTGGACTAGGTTTCTCCCAGTTCTCTTTGTGCCATCCTGTTTGGTTCTTAGGCTTACCATAGCAATGTCTTCTCTAGGTCTCAGTCTATAAATGGAAGAGGGTTAATAAAAATGATTAAAAATCAACTAGAGCATCCTATTCTTAGATTGAGCTACATGAAATTGCTATTTTTATAGATCAAAAAATGGCTAAGTATCAGCAACCTAATCACTGTAATCTAATATATGTGGGGTTCTAAGGAATAAAATAATTATTTTTATTTGTGTGGTAATATCATCAGAGAGGTGGGAGTGACAATTTATTTTCTGAACCCACTATGCAAAATAATTTACCTGACAAACATACCTTGCCTTCTTTTAGGCTATATATTTTTCGAAGTTCAAAAAATTTACGCACATCTGGATTTAGGTAAGAGAAGAAAGAAACTGAAACTGTTTCTTCCTAATAACACAGGTAAAAATAATAATTTGATAATGATAATTGGTAGCTATCATTTATTTAGCCTTACCATTGCCATGCACCTACTAAGTATGTTACATGCATTAATGCATTATTTGATCTCTTTATGCAAAGTCCTAGTGTTGCTCATTGGTAGTGATTGCTTTAGGGGAAGAATGGATACCACTTGGAACAAAGAAGCCATTGTTCAGCTTTGAGATAAAGACTTGACTAAAAATAAAATTCCCATAGTGAGATGATTGTTTCTATTTATTTATTTATTTCTTGCAGTAACATTGGATTATAACCTTATATAACTTTCAGGTGTACATCATAATATATTTCGCATTCTGTGTAGATTACATCATATTCACCACCCAAAGACTAATTATAGTCCATCACCACACATTTGTGCCTAATCACCCCTTTCGCCCTCCTCCCTCCCCCCTTCCCCTCTGGGAACCACCAATTCAATCCAGATAATAGTTTTTAAAGAAGCCTAGCTTTGAGAGAGAGAGGGAAGAGTTTTGATTTCCTGGCGTTTTTCCCCCCTGAAAAGCTTTCTTTATATATCAAAGGCAACATTTAGAAGTTTGAGTGAAGAGCTTCATTTTAAGAGGCACAATGTAGAAAGGATGAAGGATGTGACATGAGGGCAGCTCCTCCCAGGCAGGGAGGGGAAGAAGAAAGCCCTTCTGCTGCTGGAAAGGGCAGCCCCTGGCGGGAAAGATGACAGGGAAAGAGATCTGAAGGGCTTAATTATTAATTATTGCCTGGACCCTGAGAAGGATGGTGGATGTAGGGCAGGGTCGTAGTGGTTGTAGTGAGAAGATCAGAATCCAGCGTGGCCTGAGGAAGAGGCAGGAAGCAGAGTGCCAAGTGCTTCCCACTTGGAACTGTGGCAGGAGACTGCCTCACATGTGTCCTGTGTGGGCCTAGGGTGGCTTCACAGGGTAGAATATACTGGTGGGAATGGAAGGAGAGAGAGCTTGAGAAGTCTGCCCTCGTGGGTCCTCAGTGAGTAGTTCACGTCACACAGTGGTTTTAGGGTTTTCTGCATGACCGTGTGGGGTGGAGGAGAAGACAGCAGACGAATAAAAGTCAACGCACCTGCCGCGGAGTTGTTGCAACAACTTCTGTTGTTACTCGAGGCCTCCTTGAATCAGGGCCGGCTTCAGGGGCATGCAAGCTGTCTCTTGCACAGGGCCCCATGCCTAGGAGGGACCCTGTGCTTGGCTGAATGCTCTGCTGTTGCCTTCTTAAAATTCTTAACGATTTTTGAATCAAGGGCCCTGCATTTTCACTTTGTGTTGGGTCTTGCAAATGATGTAGTTTGTGTTGCCTGGAATGATCACCAGGAGGAACTGTGGGTAGGGACACTTCACAGGGAATGCTGTGGGGGAAGAGACCGATTCCTCTGGAGGTCAGGGGAGCCAGCGAGGGGGAACAGCACATCCTAGTAAGTAAGCTTACATCTCCGCTCCCTGATGTGCAGGAACGTGGGGGTGGGAGCGAAAACCCCAAAGACTGAGTATTTCTCCAAAATGAAATTGACCAAATTACTTTTGGGTGGGCAAGTGGAAGTTTAGTTTCTCAACACTGAGCATGGAAAGGGAGCTACAGAGAAAGACAGGAGCACTATGAGACAATGTGGAGACAGCTTTTGTACATTTAGGCCCAGCTGGCACTCAGCTGGTGCTCAGCAGTAAGGCTGTGCCAGCTGGAGCTCAGAAGTAACGTGGTTAAAATTTGACAGTTTCTCCCCAGCAGTTGGCAAAAAGGCCCAGTTGACTGGTATCTCCCCAGGGTCATGCCCACTTCTTCACCTGAAAGTAATTGGTTGGCTTCTGGTCCAGTAGGTGCCTCTGACCTGCCCCAATTTTTCAGCCTGGGCCGTGATGGCTGCTGTAGTCAAATGTTTTTTATTCCGTTTCTGCT